CTGAATCCCCTCATAGGTGGCTCCTTCCTCAGGCTGAGGGAGTCTGGGGGCTTTGCCTTCAGCAATCAGCCTCACTGCCTGCACCTGGGGAGATCCAGTCGGTTGCCACTCCCATCAGGAGGACCTTGCCTCCCTCCCAGCCCCAGGGCTCCACACTAAGCCTGGACCCTTCCCCAGACTAAACAGACTTGTCTGGCACACAGCAGGCACCCAAGAAACGCCTGTCACATGAACAAGGGGGTCAGTGTGAACCTAACTCCTGCTGCACACTCACAGACCCGCCCTCTCTACCTGGCAAAGGCGTAGATTACATAGATCTTACATCATCTGAGATCTTAGCAGATTATATAAACTGTAAAGCCCTGGAGGTATAACACAGACACAGATGTCCATGTTGCTGTCTAAGCCTTCTCTGCCTTGTAAAGAGAGTGAATCCTGAGCTCTGTGGTGGGCTCGAACGTGCAAGTTTGGAGGTCAGAGATGAAGCAGGAAGTAGTTTCTCTGTGACGGGAAAGAGGAAAGTGCTGAGAAAGGAATCAGGGGAGAGGGAGGAGAGCCAAGGAGCCTGGGTCCACGTGAGTGAGAGCCTAAGGGAAGAGACCAGGAGGTGCCAAAAATGGGAGGTGATTGGTGTCACAGCGTCTGAGGCAGGGCTGCCCGATGGAGCCCTCTATGGTGATGGACAAGTTCTAAGTCTGCACGGTCCGACATGCTAGCCAGGGGCCTTGGAATGTGGCTGAGACTGGGGAGCTGAATTTTTCAGTATAATTCATTTTAGTTAATTTAATAGCTGCATGTGACCAGTGGCTGCCTTGTTGGACAGCGCAGCTTCAAGAAGTATTTGAGTTGCTTGCCACGGAAAGCACAGGTAAGCCCCTTCTCTGTCCCACTGAATCTCCAGCAAGTTTACTTTGCTCACTACTTTGTGAGCTGGTCAGTCTGTGCCAAAGACAAGTTTAACATAATTGAAAAATAAAAAGCAATGGCAAGGAGCTGAGTACGAGGGGACAGTGGACGCTGGGGCTGCCCTTCCTGCTGCTCCCAAAATGCGAGGGCTCCCCAGGGCCTCCATCCGTCTCCTGCATGGACAGCGCCTTTGCCTCCGGCCCTGCCAGCCAGCCTGCTCTAGGGCAGGGGCAGCAGCCCTCAGCTATGATTCCCTGAGCCCTACTCCCCCAACCCCAGCTGTTGGCTCAGGTCCATGGCCCACCACCCTGCCTCTCAGCAGTGCCACCTGCCAGGGTAGCCGAGCTGCCCGGCCACTCAGGCCATGTGACCACAGGGCACCACCTTCTCAGCTTGCTGCAGCAGGAAGCACGTGACTGAGGCAGCCTATCAGAGCATTACATCACCCCAGCCAATGATTGGTTCATGGGGATCACATGACCCCAAAACTGGCCAATCAGAATCTTCCCTGATTTGTGATTGATAAATTCCAGGAGAAAGAGTGTTTTATCAGAACATTCCATCACCCCAGCTGGTGATTGGCTGATGAGGATCACAATACCCAAAAACTGGCCAGTCAGAATCTCCCCTGATTTGTGATTGATGAAAGAGCGTTCCTCTTTCCCTGGAATCAAGAATTAGAATCCTTGAGCTACAGTGGCTATCTTTCCTCTAATTCAGGGCAGCCAAACTGAGAATGAAGCTAATCACACAGAAAAAAGCAGAATCAACGAGTCAACAAGGGGAGAGAAATAGAATCCTAATGACATCATGGCTGAAGCTCCTGGATTGAGCAGGGCATGATCCCATCCCTGCCTTTAGCCTTGTTTATTAAATGGGCCCCACAATGTCCCCTTTTTGCCAAATGCTTTTTGAGTTGGGTTCTGTGCGTTGTGAGCAAGAGCTCCTCCTAATACAATACACTGTTTGTCCTAATCCTGCCTCTGAAACCTTGAAGTGAGAGCTCTCTCCCTCTAGAATCCTGAATTTAGGGAACAGACTCGTGGCCTCCAGGAGCAGTGCGCTGGGTCTAGGGAGGGTGCTTGAGGGTGCATCGGGGCGGGCAGGGTGGCTCCAGGCCCTCACCATCCCTTTGATGCCTTCTGGGAAGAGGAAGCGGTTGTACAGCGTGCTCACAGTGTCATCTGGCAGCACCTCGCACTCCTTCTGCAGCAGAAGGTCCCCGGTGTCCAGACCGTCGTCTGCCCAGAAGATGGAAAATCCCCCTTTCTTATCTCCGTGAATGAGGGTCCTAGGATGCAAAAGAGTGAAACCCGGAGTCCTCGACGAAGGGCCACATAGGATGCCCTGGGTGCAGCCCCATGGCCCTGCCACCCTTCGGGACACCCTCTCTCCCCAGGGGGAGGAGTGACACTGGCTCCAGCAGGAAATGGAAGAAGGAAAACACTATGTATTGATGCCAACCATGGGCCAGGAATTGTGCTAAAAGCCCTATATGCCTTACGTAACTGACTCCTCACAGCAGAGATAACAGGTATGGTATACTCGGTTTACAGATAGGGTAACTAAGGCCCAGAAAAGTGAAGTAACACGACAAAGATCAGAGAGCATGAATCCCAACAGAGCAGTCTGACTACGAATCCACTCTCTTTTCTCAACTCAAATGTCTTCCCTTTTTGACCACCCATCTACCTTGTCAACCCATTTGTTTTCTTCTTGGGACTTCTGTCACCTCAGACTACCTAGTGGAGGATATCCTTTGCTCCATCTTTATCTCTTTCTACATACTATGCTGCCTAAAGCAGTGGTAGTGGAAGTAGTAGGACCCCTGGCCCACCTGGGTCCTGGCCCCTGTGCCTCCTGGTGCCCTCCCTGTCCCGGCTGGGGGATGGGAACACTGACAGTGCCAGCTTCTCGGATAACTGTGGGAATGCAGAGTGCTTAGCAACACTTGCTCCCAGTGCTCTAGAGCATTCTCTCATTGATAACCTTGCACAGCCTGTTCTGTGGCTGATATCTGGCAGCACAGGACAGGCACCTGAGTGATACCCACTCTGCAGCCCTAGAAATGCTTTGGGCTAATGGAAAGCATCAGTCAGAGCTGATGGAGGGACATGTAAGCCCTATATGTGTTTTTGGCCCTCTGTGTTTTTGCCCACTGTGTTTTTGCCCCATCTCACCAGTTGATGGCTGAGGCCCCTCGGTGCCTGGGGAGCAGTGACGGGTGATATATGATAGAGCCGTGCCGGGGAGCATCGATGATCTCCATAGGGATGAACTGGCTGCAGAAGGGCAGGACATTGAGCTCGGCCCCCAAAGCCTGGTATTTTGCCACCACATCAGGCAAAGCCTGTCCTTTTGCACGCCACCGGGCGAACTTGAATACTGGCACTCCATCCTTCTCAGCTTGCAGACCTGTGGGACGGTGGATAAGAAACTGGCCCCTCTCTATCACCCACCCACACATGGCCACCTCTGCCTTCTAAGCAGAGTGGTTAATGGGCCTTCTTTCTGTATCTGCCCTGTCACCCCCACCCCAGCCAGGTTCCATCAGGCAACACAGACAGGACGCATCGGCCAAGCATGAGGCTCTGGGGACTGCCCTGGCTGCACTCTGACTTCTGCTGAACCCCAGGACCTCTGAGTGCCTCCCTCTTCCAGACCCCAGATGGCTGACCTCTGCTCTCGCTCCTCTCCTGAGGCCTTGCCATCCCCATCGCTGAGCTCCTGCCTCCTGGCCCCTCTACTGCTCTCTCTTTGATGGGGGCTGGCCCCCTGCAGATGGCATTTCTGCTTTGTCAGCTATTTCCTGAGGAAGGAAGATGGGGAAGAAAGGCGACAAGGGCATTCTTCCTCTTTTTTGTCTAGTGGGTTCCTGTCCTATGAGCCTCCCCCAGCCCAGCTTCTTCATCCCAGCCACAGTCATTCCTTACCAGAGTAATGGCTAAATCAGTTTTTCCATCATCTGCAGAACTAGCCTCAATATGTACGCATGTGCACATGCACACACGCGCGTACACACACACACACACACACACACACACACACACACACTCCAGAGGCCCAGGTACAGCCTGCAGGGGGCCCCTCCTCCTGCCCAGTCACCAGTACATCCTCCTCAAAGGCCTGGATTACAGGCCCAAGCTCCCAAGTTTTTGTAGTTAAAGCTTCCTCCTTTATCTCAGCCTTAGAGTGGGTAGCTGCTTCCTGCAGTCACTGTTCCCTATAACTTAAGGCTCTCTGCCTTCCACTCTTCAATACCCAAGGAATACTTCCGCATATTCAGTTCTCTGTTAGAGCCTCTGGTGTGATGTTTGGCCCCTGACTAGACTGGCCCTCCTCTCTGGCATCCTCCTCTGTCACTCTGTCCTGGTGTCTGGTGGTTTTCAGGGAGGGTGGAATGTGATGTCAGCAAATTGGACTGCACTTGCAAAAGCTGTCTCACAGTGACCAATGAAGTATTGCTGCAGGACATCTGAGATCAAGGTCAAGTAGGAGACCCAGCCAGGCTTGCTCTCTGTCCAGGGTCAGCAGCTGGGGTGAGTGGTCACTTAGCGGCTGGGTGTGGGTCCCAGGCTGTGGTGGGGTCAGGATATGTCATGGTTCATGGTTTACTTGTGGTCATATCCAAGACTAAAGCCTGGCTGGCATGGGGTGGTGGGTGCTGGAGCTGATTCTAGGGTTAAGCTGCAGTTTCTCTATTAAGGGAGGCTGGCTATTCCTTAACAAACCACACTTCTGTGTCTGGCCAGGCCTGCAAGCCCCCTTTCCTAATCCTGGCCTTCTATCCTTAAGCCCTGCCCCACAGCCTATCTCCATCAGGCCTGAGAAGGACCAGTCAGTGTTTCTAGAGGGTCTGTTCATCCAAGCAGAGGCCCCTGCATCCCACCTGCTGAGGTTCCCAGCTCAAAGGCAGTGGCCCAGACCTGTGATTCTCAAACTGTGTTCCTCCTTGTACCAGAGAGGCCAGTAATCCCCAGGTACTTGTCAGAGGATACAAATTTCAGACTGCACCTCATTCTGAATCAGAAACTCCCAGGGTGGGCTCAGTACTCTGTGTGTTTTTTTTCTTTTCTTTTAAAAAATTAAAATGCCAGGGGACAGTGCAATTGCAGTTCCCCATTACCACAAATTATGCAGTCGAGTTTCCCACATTTGGGGAAATCGCAGGGGTCAGCACATCCAGAGTACAATGGAGAAGCCTCGCCCTGGGAAAACCACCTTTGTGATCGGGTCTCTCCCTGCCAGGTGAGTAGAGCAGTGTGTCTTGACAGCAGCCCCAGCAATGGTGATGCTGTGCATGCCCACCTTTCAGAACATGGACCCCCAGTTCAGAACATGGAACCCTTCCCAAGCATGGATGCTGGGACAGAGAAGCTCTGTGTGGGACCTGGGACCAGGCAGGGCTTCTCTACAGCCTTTCTCCAGGACACTAATGCCACCCCATAATCAGGTGGGGAGGGGATCACCACTTTATTCCAGCAAAGCCCAGCAGCCAGTTGGCACTGGAGCAGGATTCAAGGTAGACTGCTTATGGCTGCTTCCCAGACAGGACAGAAGCCCCGAAGACTTTGGCTCTCAGCCTCCCACCCACTGCTTCCCCTCTGCCTCGGCAAGCTGGCCGCCCTCCATCGGCTTCCCTGTTGTTGCCGGCGTCTCACTCACCCAGTGGGTCAGCCTTCCCATCCTTGTCTGGAACAGTGAACACACCCACCACTTCATGGCCCTCCTTCCTCAGGTGGCAGTAAACTTCCTGGCCAAATAGGCTCTGCCCAATCACCGCGATCTTCATGGCAGTAGGATGGTTGGAAAGACCTGGGGAAGGAATAAGGCAGCAACTAGGCAGAGATCGCTGGTCTCAGAGAAGCCAACCCTGGTTCAAGCCAGGGCAGCTGATGGCACCTGGCCTGCTCTACCACAATCTCCTCTGTGACTCTGTGGGAGGCAGGACACTGAGGGGAGACTGCCATTGTAAGAGGGACCAGGGGAAAGATGTACACATGACCCAAAGGATTGTTAACACCAGAATATTCAATGCCACAGTGGGTGAGCTGGATATGGATTGTAGAATTAGGGGATTCCCTTTTGAAACCTTTTAAACTGGAACAGAATGCCGGTTGTCAAGATGTTTGAGATGTATTTAAACATATTTCTGTAACTAACCAGTTCTATGGCCTTGGTCACGCTTGTTCATGAGAAAGATGCCCCATCCCTTAAATGGCTTTCAGCCTAGAGATTAGGCTTATTCCTCTGAGCCAGGAGCCACAAAAGGAGCAAGGGGAGCCCCCACTGAAGGGGCTGTCCAACTGAGCTGCAACAGAAAAGGGGCCTGGGCAGGCAGGCCTGAGGATGAGGGTGATGGAAAGTGGAATGGGGTTCCACTAAGGAAGATGTGTGGGATGAAGCCTAGCTAATTATGCACATTCTCTGAAGATCGGTCATTCATTCACCTCACAAATATTTGTAAAACCTAAACTATTATTTACTTAATACATTTCTTTAAATTGTCCATTTACCAAAATAAGAATTTTTTAGGAAATTTTTATAAAAGCAGAGTATACTTCATACATACATAAAGTGTACAAATCATAGATATGTAGCTCAATGAGTTTCACAAACCAAACACATCACTGTCATCATATATACATGTACATGTGTATATATCTATATATATAGATATACATCCTCTTTATATGTTTTCACCTTACATAAATGGAATACAGTGTTTTGCAGATTTTCTCCCTCAACATTATCTTTGTGGTTGCATGTAGTTGTACTGAGTTTATTCTCATTGCTACAGAGTATTTTGTTATGTGGATATCCTGAAGTTCATTTACTCACTCTACTGTTAAGGGAATTTGGCTAGTTACCAGTTTGCAGGTATTACAAATAGGATGCTAAGAAGATTTTTGCACACCATCTTCATGGTACATATGTACACATGGTACATATGTACACATCAGGTATGTATTTAGGGTGGAATTCCTGGGTTATAGGTGTGAAAATTTTCGGCTTTAACAGATCCTGCCAGTTTTCCAAAGTGGTTGTACCAGTTTCCACTTCCATGTGCTCTCCACCTTGGCTTGTGTCTTTATTTTAGCTCTTTTTCTACAGTGAATTCAGCTGCCTCATTGGGGTTTAATTTGCAGTTCCCTGGTGACCAATGAAGTCGAGCACCTTTTCCTATGTTTCTTGGCCATTTGGATATCCTTTTGTGGGAATCGTCTCTTCAAATCTTTTGTCTATTTTTTCCATTGGGTGGTTTTATTCTTATTGAAAGGGAGTTTGTTGTTGTTCTGTTTTGTTTTTAAATCATCTAGACTGTGAGTTCTTTGTCAGATATGTGTATGGAAAATATCTTCCCTAATTCTATGGCTTGCCTTTCTCATCCTCATATAATGTCTTTTCATGAACAGATGTTCTTAAATTTAACATGGTACATTTTATCAAACATTTCCTTTATGGTTAGTGGTTCTTGTATTCTATTTTAAAAATCTTTGCCTACTCCAAGTTCATGAAGCTGTTGTCCTTGTCGTTCAAGCTCTTTATTGTTTTGCCTTTTACATTAGATGTGCAATCCCTCTGGAATTGGTTTTGCATACAATGTGAGGTAGATGTCCAGAATTTTTTTTTCCATATGTGTATAAAATTAACCCAGCACTAGTTACTGAAAAGACATTTCTTCATTGAAAAGGAGCATACATATATATGTCTATCTTTGAATCTTTGGTCAGTTTGTCTAAATTTGCATTTAGTATAGCTTTAAAATGTTTTCGTTGTTGTCGTTGTAGTAGTGAAGATATATAACATAAAGCTTTATTGTAGTTGACTTACCTAGTAGTTGTGAAGTAGTGTTTCATTGTGGTTTTGATTTGTATTTTTCTATTGAATCAGGATGTTGGACATCTTTTCATGTGCTTTTTGGTCATTTGTATACCTTCTTTGAAGAAATGTTTATTCAAGTTTTTTGACCCATTTTAAAAATTGGTTTGTCTTTTTTATTGTTAGCAGATAGAAATATAATTGATTTTGTACATTGACGTTGTATTAATCAGCACCTTAACTGATTCACATATAAATTTTCATACAGTGTAGATTCTTTGTGGTTTCCTAAGTATACAATCATGTTACGATATTGTTTTATTTCTCTCTTTCCAATCCTGAAGTCTCTCATTTCATTTACTTCCTTTTTGCACTTGCCAATTTATCCACTACAATATTGAATACAGATGGTGATAGTAGATCCTGTCTCATTCCTGTGACCTACCATTCAATATTTAACCATTGGTTATCTTTGGGGAATTTTGGTAGATAGACTAGCATATTATGAAAGTTGTCTTATTAATATATTTCTGGCTGCCAATCATGACAAGGAGTAGTATTTGTTTTGTTTTGTTTGTGTATTATTATTATTATTTTTTGAGACAGAGTCTTGCTCTGTCGCCCAGGCAGTAGTGCAATGGTGCAATCTTGGCTCATTGCAACCTCCACCTCCCGGGCTCAAACGCTTCTCCTGCCTCAGCCTTCCGAGTAGCTGGGATTACAGGCATGCATTATCGCCCCCAGATAATTTTTCTATTTTTAGTAGAGATGGGATTTCACCATGTTGCCCAGCTGGTCTTGAACTCCTGACCTCAGGTGATCCACCTGCCTCGGCCTCCCAAAGTGTTGGGATTACAGGCGTGAGCCAAGTGCCCAGCCTTTATTTGTTTTTTAATCTATGCTTGTAAGAAATATTGACGTGAACCAGTCCCAGTGGCTCACCACTGCAACCCCGGCACTTTGGGAGGCTGAGGTGGGCAGATTGCTAGAGGCCAAGAGCTCAAGACCAGCCTGGGCAACATAGCAAGACCCCATTTCTACAAAAAATACAAACAAATTAGCTGGGCATGGTGGTGTATGCCTGTAGTCCCAGCTACTCGGGAGGCTGAGGCAGGAGAAAGACTTGAGTCTGGGAGTTTGAGGCTGGAGTAAGCCAAGATCCTACCACTGCACTCCAGCCTGGGTGGCAGAGTGAGACAGTGTCTCAAAAAAAAAGGCAAGGTGGATAAGGGCAGAGTGAAAGAGAAAAAAAGAAAGAAAAGAGAAAAAAGAAAAGAAAAATATCGACGTGTCAACTACTTCCTTTAACAAATGTCCTATTCAGGTTTTGGTGTAGCTTTCTCTTTTTTTTCAACTTTTATTTTAGAAACAGGGAGTGCACGTCCAGGTTTGATATGTGAGTGTATTGCACCCAAGTAGTAAGCACAGTACCCAGTGGAGTTTTTTCAACCCATTTCCCTACCACGTTTGGCAGTCTGCAGTGCCTGTTGTTCCCATTTTATGTGCATGTGTGCTCAAAGTTGAGCTCCTACTCACAAGCGAGAACATGCAGTAACTGGTTTTCTTTTTCTGCCTCAATTCACTTAGGATTATGGCCTCTAGCTCTACCCATATTGCTGCAAAACATGCTTTCACTCTTTTTTATGGTGTATAATATTCCATGGTGTATATGTACCCCATTCTATTTATCCAGTCCACCATTGTTGGGCACCTAGGTTGATTCCCTGTCATTGCTGCTATGAATAGTCCAATGATGGACATACAAGTGCTTGAGTCTTTTTCATATAATGATCTATTTTCCTTTGGGTATATACCCAGCAATGGGAATGCTGGGGTGGATGGTAGTTCTAAGTTCTTTAAGAAATCTCTAAACTTTTCTCTAAGAAACTTCCACAGCAGCTGAGCTAATTTACATTCCCACCAACAGTATATAGGCGTTCTCTTTTCTCCACAGCCTTACCAGCACTGTTGTTTATTGACTTTAGTAATAGCCATTCTGACCAGAGTAAGACGGTATCTCATTGTGATGTTGATTTGTATTTCTCTAATAATTAGGAACATTTTAAAATTTTTGTTGGGTGCTTGTATTGTATATCTTTTTTGGGAAGTGTCTGTTCATGTCCTTTGCCCACTTTTTAATGGAGTTATTTGTTTTTTGCTTGTGGATTTGTTTGAGATTCTTATACATTCTGGATATTAGACCTTTGTCTGATGCATAGTTTGCAAATATTTTCTCCCATTCTACAGATTGTCTGTCTAATCTAATAATAGTTCTTTTGCCATAAAGAAATTCTTTAGTTTAATCAGGTCTCACTTGTCAATTTTTGTTTTTGTTGCAAATTGCTTTTGGGGACTTAGCCAAAAATTATTTGCCAAAGCCCATATCAAGAAGGGTTTTTCTTAGGTTTCTTCTGGGATTTTTATAGTTTGAGGT